TTATTATTATTATTATTATTATTATTATTATTATTATTATTATTATTGTTATTATTATTATTATTATTATTATTATTATTATTTGTTATTATTATTATTATTATTATTATTATTATTATTATTATTATTATTATTATTAATATTATTTTCATTATTATTATTATTATATTATTATTATTATTATTATTATTATTATTATTATTATTTTCATTATTATTATTATTATTATTAATATCATGTTAACGCCTCCTTTTATTTTTTTTTGTTTTATTTCAAAGATTGCTTATCCTAAACGTATGCCATTTGTGAAATTGTTTCGTAAGTAAATAAAAGTAATTTTAATAATGTAGTGCAACCAACGATAAACTTTCGGCCAAATATGTACTATGTGAGTATGAGTATGGATCACTTGAATTTCTTTCTAATATTACTTACTTTGTTTTGACAAATATTTAACTTGTGTGGAATTTTTATGTATCTAAATGTTTTTGAAAACTTTTGATTTTGTCACAATCGGATAAATTTTTTGCAAGTAGAACGAGGGAGCGTATTTTTGAGATGGAATGGGCCGCATTTTACCCAGCCGTCGGTAAAGTGCGGCCCATGTAGTGCATATCTAGATTGTTTTAAAAGCAGTATTTTCACTTGTTGAAGGGAAAAGTGCTACGTTACAGACTATTGGTTTGACCCAACTTTATATCATCTCATTTTTCTCAAAAATTTTTATAAAAGACACTTTGCATACTAAAATGTTATAAAGTTTTTCTAAGTATTATTAAGTTTTTAAAACTTTCTTATTCCAGACAAACCTATTATTTATTCACAATAGTATTACATTATTGCTATATTAGCAATAATAGCACTATAGTATTATATGAGTGCGTTGATTAGGGGCCCAGTCGGTTAACCAATAAGAAAAAAAAATTATTAACAAAAAAATCATGATCCGGAAATGAAATCAATATTGCTGTAGCTTTCATTATCTGAAGTCTTTTTACAAAAAATATTGTAAATTTTTAGCGATGCCTTTTTTTTATATTTTGTTCAGAAAAATTTTATGTGTTGATTATAAAATTTATATTCTTTTCAAAGATCGAAATTGCGTATATTGTGGAACACTATGCTTTGGGTATTTTATGCTACATTTTTACATGCATTTTAGTTTTTGATAAATTATATTTTCTATATTCTTTTATTGTTGTATTTTTTATTCTGGTTAATTGGATCAGAATACATCTTTACCTACAAAATTTCATCCGTTTGGAGCGGTTCAAATTTCCCATTCATTTTCAAGTCTTTAAAAATTTGACTTTTTGCTCTGAATTTCATTTTGCAACAACATTGTTCATCATTAAAGGTTCAATAGTTCTAACGCAAGAAAACAACTTACTAATTTCAATTTTTTTTGGTTGTACGTCTTGTATAACATTAAATTAATACAATTTAAAATGTATTTTTATAGTAATATTATAATACACTAGTATTATTATAATAATATAATATATCATATTATTTTTAAATTAATATAATATTACAAAACTGAATAATTAATTAAAAAATGTTTACATTTTTGTGCATTTACAGTATAGCAACTCAAAATGGAATAGAATTGACGCAAATAGGAAAATTGAGAGATAGTAATACGTTTGTGGTTAGTGGTTCTTATTCATACACTGGTGCGGATGGTAGGCGATACAAAGTCAAGTAAGAGCAAAATTTTGTGTATATAATATTATATACATTATAGAAACTTTGTAAAAATGTAGTAACATGGAGTGAAATAAACTAGTGTTTTTTAACATTTCTCAAAGAACTTCTGTCGAAAGTTTGAGCAGCCAATTACTTCCGTCCTTACTATGGCGGCAAAGTTTCGTCCTTCATTAGGGTTTTTTTGGTAAACATATCAATTCTTAAATAATATTGATAGAGACAATCATGAAATAATTTTTTTTACAGAAAGCATTTATAATTTTAAAGCCATTTAATTTTAAAACAACAGCTTTCAGAAATAACACATAATAATAAATTTTAAAGAACTCCTAGAAATATGTACGTTATAGATACGTTATTTAACGTGAACAACGATTAGGAAGAACACGGGTTGAAAGACATGCAAGCAGCACGTTCTGCTGAAGAAAATTTTGAAATTTATTCATATCAATATTTCAGATTGATTAAAAAGGTACATATAAAAGGCTAAAACGCAATTGATTCCAAATTAAACGGCAACGAATATAATAATTAGAGTTTAATGAATTATTTTTCAACGATAGCAAATTAAAATTTATTAAATGTATCACAGTAAGGTCTAAAGTATAAAAATAAAACTAACCTTAAAATTTTAGCTAACCGAATCACTAATAACTGTAACATTTGCACGAAAGGAAAAAAATATAAAAAAACTTGTTAAAAAAATCAACTTACAAAATCTCCAGACATTAACTAAATAATATTATGAACATTAGAAATCAAAAAAACTCATTTTTAAATTTTGCTGATAAATCTTCTGAACATACGATAAGGGATGCAATAATCAAACAATACAATAATCGAACGATAATAAAAAAATTAGAATTTTATACATAACGTACATATACTCGTATTTATAGAAAGTTATTGATTGAAGAATTAATATACGATAATGAATTTAAAAGTATAAATATTCAGGAATTTTGCAAAAACGAAGGCACAAAAATTAAATCTGTAAAACCAAATAACCTATCTAGTCATAAAAACTCTAAATAGCATACTTTTTGAAAAATCAGAACTTTACAGTTATAAACATTACCTTTATAATGCGAATTAATAAAGACATAAAATATTTTATTCCAACTTATCATTTTATCAGTTAAAACAATTCCTTTAGAAGTTCAGGAAGATAGGCTAGATAAAAGTAAAATATCTAACATTTATTAAAAATAAAAATTAAAAGAAATGATAAACTTAGTAAAAATATGGAAGGTTATGAGGAAAAACTTCAAAAAAGAATTATTGAACATAATTGAGTCACTACAACATAATATGTCCATATTGACAGAACAAATAAAAAAATCTGATGTGGTCAGCACATAACCGACCGCATTGTATATTATCTAGTTAAGTGAAAGGGTTACAGAATATTATAAAAATGTCTTTTAAATACTTCTTTCCAATTTTTAGGACATTAGTAAGCTTATAGTTAACATACCTAGAAAAATGTAAATTTAACTCTTAGTAGAGCTTCGCTTTGTGCTACCCGAATTCCCAGAAATGCTCGCCAGTTAACCAGAACTCAAATATTAAATTTCAAGAAATTCCATCAATTCGTTCCGTAGATATGGTGAAAAATGTAAAATCGGCCCTCAAATCAGTTTTCGAGCCCTGATTTTTCCAAAAAATTTATATGTTCATTGTTTTAATACGGGGAATTCAAATATTAAATTTCAATGAAACCGGTCAATTATTTCTCTTTATATACACAAAAATGTATATTTGGTCCGTAGTAAACGTCCAGTTGCTGATGTCTGATTTCTTTCAAAAGTTAGCAATTTTCGCGGACGGTCGCGCAAAGCTCATATATGAAATTTCAAGTAAATCGGTTGAATATTTTCTTCAAAATGTTCAAAAATGTAAAACAGGCCCGCTAAAAAGTGCAGTTCCCGAGGCCTGATATATCCCAAAAGTTGATCAAACCGTGCCATGGTGGAAATTAACTTACATATAAAATTTCATCAAAATCGGTTCAGCAGAACTTGAGATACACGTGTGCACACACAGACCGACAGGTCGCTAAAAATAGTTTACATACACTTCCCTATTATGGACAAGTCCATTCCCACCGAAAACTCGATATTCAAAATTTGTTGCCATTTGTTGTTTACACAATACGGTCGGTAAAAACAGGGTCAAACATAATTTTACACATTGTTTACACAAAAGAAAAAGTAGGCTTCAAAAGTAAAACTTTCGTTTATTTAAAAATTGAAAAATAAAAACAATTATTTAGATATCTAGTAAACGGAAAAGAGAGTTAGTAAACCTTGTGGCCTGTGGGGGATATTTCGAAACAGTTGTTCGGACGATAGAAAAATGAATGAGGAAGATAGGAAAAACATAGAAGACCACTTGAATATATTAGATTATAATAACAACCAAGTAGTCAAAATAAAAGACAATTTTAACAAGACATTTAAAGAACTAAAAGCTTTTATTTTAGAAGACCGAGAACAAACTAATAAGAACATGAACAGTTACTAAAAATACAGTTTTGAAAAGAGAAAACTACTTTCGCATAAGATAAGTTGACTTTAACCAAGCAAAATTGCAAAATAATTTAATAATATTCGCACTCAAAATTCCTAAAATATTTATGAGTATTTAGTTAAAAAGAATAATTCCGATACCAAAGCAGAACAATAAAGAAATTGATGATAAGAGTCGAAGAATTTAATACAATAATGACTAGATGTATTCAAATATTGCATTTATAAAAACAATATAATTATAATACTTGTGTTAGATGAACAAATTACTGTAATCAAAAATGCATAAGTCAATCATGTAATTACAGTAACATGATACTAACAATAAATTAAACATTACATGATACTAACAATAACATGATACTAACAGTAACATGATACTAACAATAAATTAGTAACATGTTACTGTAATTCCTGGTTCACTGTAACAATTGCACATTGAGCATTGAGCATTCTTTCTATCAAATATATTCAAATGTAAAAGAATCTGTAAACAACGACTTTATTATCCGAATACTTAAAGAAATAATTTTACAGATAAAATAACTTTTGAAGATATATAAAAAACTTGGAAAAAATACAAGAAACAAAATTTTACAGTAAAAATGAAATGCTGGTATATCTTGGAAAATTATTATGAGAGACAAACGATGATATTAACTTCTTTCATTACAGCTGATTTTTTGGCTTTTGTATTAAAGCTGGGAAAAATGAATTTGCTTTTTCCCAAACTTACTATCACTTTCATTTCAAAACCAGTCATTTCAGTTATTAGACTTATACTTAGCTAAAATTATAATCTATTTAGCTTGTATTCTAGAAAGAGTTGTAGTATTAATTACTTTTGTATTTATTTCTTGAGTCCCTCTAATTTTAATTATTTTTTCTTTGGCCCCCCTAAAGTGTGCTGTGGCTGCAGTTTAAGAATACTGAGTTAAAGTTTAAAAAAATTTTCGTTCGCAAAATTATAACAGTTTGCAAAATTTTCTTTAAATTATAACATTTACAAAATATAACAGTTTGCGCGTGTGTTGGTGCATATATGCACATAAAACCGGGATTCCTGCCAAAACATTTTTGATAAATTATTTTTTATATTATAAAATGAAAAATTTGTTTTCAAAAATTGCAAAATAAATATTTGAAAACATAATTTGCAAACATAAGTAAATACGGGATCAAATGGAATTAAATATTTTAATTAAAAACAGGTACTTGGTCAAACTAATGGTTTATAATGTAAGCCAATTTTCTTTTACAATGTAATTCTGTTCAGACTAGTAAGTAAAGTGAATGATCTATTAAATCATGCTGTATTTGATTCTGAACATACGAGTAAGTAAACTGCATGATCTGTTAAAATAATTGTCTTATAATTTTATGAAATATTTTTTTGTAGTTCAAAGATAAATCAAATATTAGCTAGTAAGTAAGTTGCAGATGGGAACTGGCTCCCTCCACCGGGCCACTATGAGATCCATCGATATACCTCCGCAATGCACCCCACCTGTTAGGGTGATAGAAACTTAAACAAGTTTAGAAAGTCACCCACAGCCGTCTTCGACAGTTCCTCCAATCCTTCAAACCGATTGCTCCCAAAAAGTGTTTTCCACTATCCGATATCTCGGTACCCCTGGAAAATATCTAATAGACAGTCTCCAGTCAAAATGCCAACAACAATACTGAGATACTCCCTGCTTAGTTCCAGCATTTCTAACGTCCTTGTGTTCTTCCTCTTCGACCACAAGGCCTTTGATAAGGCTTCGGCCATTTTGCACAACTTGTCCAAATTCCTGCCGATCGTCGGGCGCAAAAACTCATACCTTGGCCTTCCGCTTCTGGCCCTGCATTGCCTGTTGCCATGTCGTAACCCATCTGGCCGACTGAAGTAGCTTCGCACCTCCGTTTTCTTAATAACTAAGAGTCCTCAAGGATTTCCTTTTTGCCTTCATTATAGCATATTTAAATATCCTTAGTCCATCCCTGTAACTGCTCCACTTAAATCGACTGTTGCCCGTTTTTGCAGCATTATGCGGCCGCCTTGATTTTCTTGTATGTTCACGGATATCACTAGACAACCAAAGAGATCCTGCATCTTTTCCTGGACGGTTAACGGGCTGTAACAGCATTGCTTTTGCCAAAGGCAGTTCAACAGTTTTGGAGTCGAGTCGTTCCATCCCTGCTACAAAAACTGGTGCAGCCCTACTGATGATGGCCGTGTTAGCATCAAATTCAGATCTGAAATTAGAGCAGGACCTCACGTGATTTGGATTCCGAGCTAATCTCGAAGTCCTCCTTAAAAAGAATAATCGTGAACAAAACTCGCATATTGTCCTCCGTGTCGCATTTGTTAGCCGCTATCTGTTAAGCTTAAGGCCCATTTCCACCTTGAAGCCCGGTTCTACTGGTAAGGGACTCTTAAAAAAAAACGTGATAATATCTTCAAATACCGCTGAATTGGAT